GTAGGAAGATAAAGGGGAGTGAACAAAGCTGTTACTATACCTTGTCCTTTCTCGTGACTTTTTTTTTATTTATTTATTTTTTATTAATATGTTGAGGGATTCATATTTGAAAAATAAATAAATAAGTAGAAGAGTCTAGTACGATAGTATATACAAAATAAATAAATGGAATATATGTTATTAGAGTGTGATGAAATTTGTTACCAATACATATTCCTCAAAATTTGAAAACATTGTTAACTCATTATTAAGAAAACAAAAGAGAAAAAACTTTTTGTCATCCGAGTTAATGACGATTTTGGCGCATCACTATATAAACTTTTTTTTTTCTTAAAAACCATCACGTGAATTATACGGATTTGTCACAGTACCCCTAAACCAAAAATAAAAATAGTTTTGACTAAAAAAATCGATTTTTAAGGACATTTAAGTAATTTCATATATTTTTTTTAAAAGAAACAAAAGAATTGAGACAGTAACTGTGGAGAATCTGGACGTGTCCCGACATAATCATCAACACAAAATCATCAGCAATTTTACATTTCTATACCATTCAAGAATCTGACAACATACAAAATCATAAACTGAAAAAAATTCAAACCTTCAACCAATCACAACATGTTGTTGGTCCTCGCCAGAAGCTGCAGGAAAAAGTTGAGTGCCGCCCGACGGAAGCCTCCCCCGGAACATCGGGTGCCTCATCACATGCATTCCCGAGAGAACATCTGCCAGCTGGAAGAGCACGGTGTCCAACACACCATCTGTCACACCTCAGAAACTCATGACTATAACGGTTGCCCGCGTGTCCCGCCAGCTCAGCACCGTGTGGACTCTTCTCCCCCTTGTGCCGCCACGTCACCATCGTCTGCACCCGACCGGCCACGGTCCTCAGCCGATTGTACCTCATCTGAACTAGCTCACCCGGTCGAACTTGAGGGTGTTTATCATAATTGAAGCAAGTTTAAACAACATAATTAGTATAAGAGTCTTTAATATTTGACATTAAATAATATAATAATATAGTTTATCATGCTATAGCACTAACAAAAATTGAGTTAATGAGGAAACACGTGTAATGAGCAAGTTAAAACACGTTATAAAATCTAAACACCTCAATCAATTAATTAATTATCTAAATCATTTTAACTTATCTTATCATCAAACCACAATTACTCAAAAACTTTAAATGACGTTTAATTATGACAGATGTGTACTAATTGGTCATCTTTCTACACGGATAAAAAATCTTAACGACTTAACTAATTAATTATTTTTCAAATCATTTGGACTTATCTTATAATCAAAACACAATTTGTTCAAATTCTTATTTTAAATTAATCTAAACATAACTGTACGAATCACAATATATGTGATTGATTTGTTTAGAAATGTTCATTTTGTGCAGGTAAAAAAAATAAAGAGACAACCAACACGACATAGAGAATTGGTCGGGAGAGGAGAGGAAAAAATGAAATGAAAGCCCTAAAAATCCGAACTTATGGCCTAATGTTTGTATAGATAGTGTCGATGTTATGGAACATAGTCCAATACTTGATATATTTTATGGAAAATTGACATGCGTCATATTTACGTGCATTTTATAGTGATTTTCGTGTCCGTTTCGTCGTAGTTTGATATATAATTAGTTATTGTTTAATTAGTTATTGTATAATTAATTATTTATTTAATTAATTTTATTAAGCTATGACGAGGTGTTTTATTCTAAGTTTTAACAGGAAATGGGGCTAAAATAATTTTTGGAGTCGAAAGCGATAAGAATGGATCGATTATGATGTACGAGCCGTGTATTGAGACGGATCCAATTGCAAGGCCTTATTTATGAGAAGGAATTCAGCCCTTAAAGTCCACTAGAGGCAGCCCAATGTCCATTTACTGGCCCAGTTGAAATTAGTATATAATGGGTTGGCCCAAAAGCAACTAAGTGGGGGGTATAAGAGTAATTTTGAAGTGTGGCATCTTCTTCCTCATATTTCACGTACGAAAGGAGTCCATGAGCAGCCATTAAAGTTGCTGCCAAAGCTTCGACCGAATACCACTCGCCACCGTCTCTTTGGACGCTTGAAAACCGAACTCTGCCACCTGCTATGACCACCAGGCCGTCCTCCGGCGCCATTCTGTCACCGAGGAGAAGAAGCTGCTTCCGCCGGGCTGAGGAGAGCTGGCCGGAAAACGCCATGTCCGGCGACCTGGACGTGTTTCTATCACAGGAGGTTGACTTAGACGCGGGAATATAGAACATAAGACATGAGCTGTGCGAAAAGTGAAGATTTTAGGCGCCTAGGTACACACTGGTCGTGTGACGTCGGACACGACTCGTGTCGCGCGAAAAGGATCCGATGCCTGCTCTCGGCATTTTCACACGACTCGTGTGTCTTATGACACGAGTCGTGTGACCCTGAGCGCAATTTGTTCGGTTTTACGCGTTTTTCCTATTTTTTCGGTATTTTCGACCTATTTCGACTAGGACTCGACCACATCTATTTAAGAGACACTTGGACACGTTTTTGGAGAGTCTAGAACCTAATTTTCAGATCTTTAGAGACTTTTGGAGGCTAGAAACACGAGCAAGATGAGGGAGAAAGCCCGGAAAGAAAGGATCGACGGAGCCGAATAAGCTTTTTCTTTCTTTTTTCTTTTCCTCTTTCGAATTCAATGTTTTATCTTTATTTTGAAAGCATGTTTCTAGGCTAATTTATTTTGGATTCTAGGATTTGTTAGTACTCGGATTGATTTATGATTTAATTTTTATTTATTTCATTCCGGTTTATCTTTCGTTTATAAATTTCTTGTGCTTATTATTATTGTGTGAGTAGGCGGCCGCTATGAATGCATATTTGTAATTGATTTGAGACCGAGAGGAGATAATTGATTGCTAGAATTGAGAAATATATAACGTAGGAGACTAAACAGACCGAGAGGTTGATAGAATCCCACGAGAGAACGAAAATCCTAGGAACTTATGAGAGTTAGTTGTTCATCTTGAGACCGAGAGGAGAAAGATAACAATTAATATCTACGATTTGCTTGTTCGAGAGAAAAGTTGAAATCAATTTAGTGATTATCTCTACGATTGGTAAAATTAAATAAGGTTTGTTTGAATATGAAACGTTTCATGAATTAATTCCGAGGAACGCTTAACCTAGAATCTATCTTTTGCATCTTATTTTATTTTTATTTCTTTAGATAAATTAGTTTTTAGTTTAATTTCATAGTTTAAAATCATCATCTCATTCGTTAGTCTAAATAATATTTAATCGTTATTATTTTAGTACTTAATTAATTTAACTACAATCTGTGTGGAATACGACATTGCTCGCCACTACCTATAGCTACGCCGTACACTTGCGGATAGCAAAAATAATTAGCGAACAAAAATGCTACAAGTATATACAATAAATGTACATATAAGTGTAAATAATACTTATATGGAATGGGGTCCACTTGATTTTTTTATTTTTGGTGGGTCTCACTCAATATGAATGCTATTTACACCCGTATATACTGGTCACATATTATATATATCTCGTACATTTGTTTTATTCATTTATTAATTTTATAATTGTCACGCTCAATTTTACTATGGCTACATATAAAATTACCTTCAAAAAAGCACATAAATTATAATTTTCTCGTGCATCATACGGGGAATTATTAGTTAAATAATATAATATAATAATAAAATTAAAATCCGAAACCGAAACCCTCAAAATGGGCTTGAAGCGAGCCCAACATTTGACCGTTGAAGACCAATATATTCGCCCTCCAACGGATAGTTTTTTTCTCATTTATGAAAAAAGAAAAAGAAATCAAAATCCAAAATCCGATCTCATAACAAAGTACCAAGAATCACTCTTATCTCCTTCTCCCACCAGTAACTGATCAATTCGCGAAGAACTTTCTGTGGATTTCAATCTTTCGCTTCATCAATATTTCTGGGCCATCTACGCCTTTTGTTGCGATTTCATGTTCATCGCCCACGCAACCCCTCGGACAAATTAAATCAAGAAAACCTTTTCATAGATTACAAAATTTTGCTTTTCCTTCGGAAAAATAAGCATGGATCTTGGCTGCATTGATATGGGCTGCGTCGAGAAGCCAAGAAAAGAAGAATCCCTTGAGAAAGACACCGGCCCAAAAGAGGAGGCTCTGATGTCTGCTTCAAAGTCTGCAAAGGTGCGATTTTTTGTTCAGTTCTTGTGAATAAATTTGTTTCGTCTTTACTTGTCTGAATTCTGATAGTCTCGAGTTTTTCAGTTATTCTTTTTTCGTGTTAGTTTGAAGAAATGGGAGTTATCGTTCTGGAACTTGAATCTTCTTGATAGGATGACTGGGGAATGCGAACATAGTGTTCGATGTTTGGTCTGTGAAACAAAAGCCATATTTTTTAGTTAAATAAGTGCAGTTTGTTTCTCTGTCCCTTGAAAAAAATAATCACTATCCAAACGCACTTAAGATTCTGTTATAACTGATTACACATCTCTCTGTCTCTCCTAGTGTGTGTGTGTGTGTGTGTGTGTGTGTGGAGGCCGTAATTTTGTGCATTCATATAAAACATGGTTGGCTTCATGCTGTATCTAAGTGACTTTTTATCGAGATGACCTTTCGGTTTTGGAAGGGTAACTTCTGGATGGGTTGAACAGATTAAATCCAACAAAGATAACTTCCTTGAGTTTTGGGTATTATTCTTGTCAGCTCTAACTGAATTGGTCATGCACCAAACTCATGAATTTTAAGCTAAATGGATCTTTGGCCTCTGCTGATTTTAAGAGTTAGAATTCTTGGAGAACATTGCACTTGAATTTGCACAAGGGTTGTCCTAAAATGCACATGTTTTAGTTTTTTGGTATTCATAACGATAGTTGAGATCAAATAATCGCTTATATTTTGAATCGAGCACTACTTTTCTTTTTTAACTCAATGTTGTGTTTGGTTTTTCAGTCCCTTCGACATCATGTATTTATTTTCCTGATAAAATTTGTATTTTCATTTGCATCTTAATCCTGGTTGATATCTAGTGCTAACTACATTGAGGTGTAGTACAGAACAGTAAAACAAAGGACGCTGTTCGTTCTAGCTTGAATGCTTTGACCAAAATCACATCCCAAATCTCGAAGCCCCCTCGACGCAAAACCTCACCTGTAAATTGGTTCCCAAGGAAAAAAGTGGAGCCTTATTTGAAGAGGAAAATAAAAATGCTTCAGGTATATGAATATGACATCAATAAATCTGATCAAAATTTAGACAAAGTTCCGGGTTTCTTATTACACTAAGGTTTAATGCGAACGATTTGTAAAATAGGAAGTGGACGGGATGCAATCAACTCTGGATGAGACTCTTGGTGATTCAAATCCACACTACTCGCGAGTACTTAGAGAAAAGATTGCAATAAGAGAGGCTGCAGAGAAAGCTATGGAGGCTCGAAAATCTGCCATGGTGGAAGCATCTTGGTGTCGTATACTTCAGGCAGCCAGGTATTTATGAATAAATATGTTATATACTTATTTTCTTTGGGCAGAATCATTTTCCATGTAAGTTCATATGAAGTATATAATTCTAGTTTTGTTTGCTTCTGGCTTGGAAAAAAGGTTGTTAGGATATTTGAAGCACTAAGGTAGTGAGGATATCTGAAAACTTTTCGATAGTTTTTGTGTAGGCTGAAAATAGAGATGAAAAGGTGGAAAAAGTTGTTATAAAGAAAACCAGCACATTCTTTAGATTGTGAGTAAGATAAAAATGTAATATTTTAGTTGTTATCATATAGGAAATGCCATTATATCTGATATAAGTTTTTCTTATTAAAATATATTATAAAAGATTGATTTAATTTTCTGATTTTGTTTGTGGGATTACAGAGCAAAGAAATGGAATGAAATGAATTTTTGTTTTTGTGAAACTTTTTGTTTTCATTCATTCACATCTTCAATGAGATTAATGTTGATTAACCAACCAAAATTGTAAAATCTGTTTAAGAAACGAAACTTAAGAAAAAACGATGAAAAATACTGCTTATAGAATAAGCCGAATACTATACAAGTTAGCGGGTTCCTGTTAGCTGCCGGATCCGCTCCCGCATGAATTCAATCTCATGTGTATGGTTCTGTACTTCTGTATAATTCTGTGTAACTAAATGTTTAAGATTTGTGATTCTCATGTTTTTCCTTTTTACATACAAATATACAATTTATCTCTCTCTTCTATTTGGAAAGATTAAGTTAATAAAGAGACCAACTTTATTTACTGTTTCTTTCCTCTAGAAAGCAGAAACTCTTTTGCAAACACTATATGTGCCCCTCTCTCTAACATTGATTATTTTTCGACATGCAAAGGATCGAAAGCAAAGAAGCCGAAGCCCAGCTGGCAAAAGCAGAAAAATCCGCATCCGAAGCTTCTGAGGCCGCACGAGCTCTCGGTGTCATAATGGACGATGCACAGAACCACTATCAAATCGAAGCATCAGGTGGGCCCACCGCCACATCACACACTGTCTCGGCAACTTTTGAGACCGCATTCGAAGTCGACAAGCAAGTAGCGGCTGCAGTCAAAGATGCTTTCATTAAGCTCGCCAGTTGCCCGTCCATAAACAAGGAAGAATTCAAAGACTTGCTGCGAAAAATCAGTGAAAATCCAGAAAATGGTGAGAATTTGAACATGTCGGATTTTACTGTTGATTGTGAATCAGGTATTACTGTGGACATGATGCTCGATAGGCTTCGTTGCTTAAAAGAGGAAGAACTTTCTTCTCTGGCTACAATAGTTGCTACCAGGGGTCTAAATGCAGCTTTGTCTGAGAAAGGAAATAATAATAATAGCAACAACAAAAGGTATTCTTTGTCGAGCTCTTCTTCTTCTTCCATTGAGAATGCAGAGAATTCTCGTCTTAAAGCCCAAAGCAGAAGAATGTCAGTAGGTGGGAGGAGGAGTTCTTCTTCGTCCGATGCTGAAATTCCTAGTTTAGACAAATTTCTTGTTAAGCGGCTGACGAGGCTCGAAAGGGATGTGCTGGAAGCGAAAAACGCTCGAAAAACAGAAAATGAAAATAAATTAATTATAAGCAGTGATGAAAAGGTTCCAGATTTAGGAACTGTTCTTGTGAAACACGCCTCGAAGCTCGAGAAAGAGGTTGAAGGAGCAAAAACAGGCGATAACAGGAAGATTCAAAGGGGCCCACGTGTGAACCAAGATTTCAGTGAGGTTCCCAGCTTGGATAAGTATCTGGTCAAACACCTAACAAGGCTCGAGAGGGAGGTGGAGGAAGCGAAGAATGGCGAAAAGTCATTCGAGGCAATAGTAAAGACTGCATCTTTTTCGACCGACAAAAAGGGGAAAGAGAATGTGGACACAAACAAAACCCAAAATAAGGACACAGGCTCTAATGTTCGTCGTAAAGGAGGCGATTTGTGGAGTTATTATGGCGAGAGTCTGGATAAAGTTTTGGTGAAGCACGTGTCGAGGTTGGAAAAGGAAAAG